CCTGCTAAAGCATTCTCCACTTGTCTGCTTCCCTTAGGCATTAGATGGCTTCATTATAGCAGTAACCACAGGTGGAAGCATCATCTATGTGTCTGACAGCATCACACCTCTTCTAGGGCATTTACCGGTGAGTAATTCTGGCATTGGCTTTTCTACTACACGTCCTAGAATTGGACCCTGCATTTTTAGAAACAGATGTAAAAGGGTGCTGGGGGTGGTGTTTTCCTGTGGGGGTTTGTCCCTGCCATTTTTCTGGCTGCTGCTGTTGATCAGCTCTGTTCTCTCTCTCTCTGATTCATACCCTTCAGTTTTTGTTGCTATGAGGCACTTCAGCTTGAATGGAAAAAGTTCTGCAGGAATAGTCTGGCCAGGGGAGGGACAGGGTGACCTGGCTGATCTTTTCCATCTCTGATTTCTAAGCTAGCAGAGAATAGCACCAGTGCTGCTGGCAGCCCAGTGAGGAGCTTGTTAAGGGCCTTACTCTGCTCCCAGGGAGGTAAAGGACAAAAACCCCATTGAATTCAGAGTTAGCTGGAGGCTGCTGACGAGCATTCCCTGCAGCTCAGCTGTGCTTTCCCAAGGGGAGCACACCCTGCTCCCAGGAGGTGCTGGTGGAAATGATGCTTGGGTGCAGCATGTACAGCTTGTTTTGTCTGTGTGCTGCTGGTCCTGCTGTGGGAGACACTCCTGTGTGTGCTGGCTTGGGCTGGAGGAGCAGGGAGAGGAACTGCTCCAAACCCTGCTCCTGTTGCTAAGGCTGCTCCAGGAGAAATGGCACAATAATTACAGATTAATCCTCACGCTCATTTTTAGTATCCTGGTCTCAAATAAATACATGCCCAGGAGAAAAAACCAGCTGCCAAATCATTATTGTACTGCCCCCCGCCACGTTCTCAAGAAAATTAGAATTCTTTCCCTCTCATTTATTTCTGCACCAAATATATGTTGTTGTTCTCCACCCAGACAAGTGTATTTCACACACACTACCTTGCTGCAATATGAACAAAAATGATTTTCTTCTGAGACAAAAGGAGCTCGATGAAAGGCAGCAGCTCCTGGTAAATGGAAGAATATTGCTATGCAACAACAGATTGAACTTAATCTATTTCAGCTTTCTTTCATCCTGGAGAGTGGAGAAGACCAGTAGTTGACTATTTTCTCTGCATTTGCCTTCACTTCAAAGGCAGAGAGAGCCCTGTCTCCGTACCAGCTGTTGGGTCACACACTTATGATTTCCATGAAATTTCCTTGTCTTTCATTTGCTGGTTTCATTGCCATCCCTTCCAAATGCCAATTCTTAGTGGAGATGGTAGATCTGCTCCAGGAAAGTATTCCTCTTCAGGAAGACACATTTCAGATTCTGTGCCTGAAATCTTAAGCCCTGACTGAACATGGATAGATTCAGGTTCATAATTCCTGAGTTGGACCATCAGAACCTAAATTGGTTTTCTCTCCCAAAGTCCTGCCTTGTATGACAACCTAACATGGTATCCAGCCCAAAATCAGAGTCACAGAATCAGTGAGGTTGGAAAGGGACCACAATGGGTCATCTGGTCCAACCTCCCTACTCCAGCCTAGAGCACATGGCTCAGGGTTGTGTCCAGAAATGAGTCTCAAGATGGTCACTACCTTTAATTCACATAGAAGTGGACCATGACAGCCCAAGTCAGGGACCAGCTGACAGGGCTGGAGCTGGAACAGTTGGAGTGGTAATGGTTAACAAGTTCCCCACTAGCCTATACAAGCAGAGTGACTAGGAACATCGAAGGGACCACAAAGGAATGAGCAATAAGGTTTTCTCCCTGCCCAGGGTCAGCAAATCACCATGGCCATTGGGCAGTTGCCCAGCTGAGGGTGCAGTAAGGTTCACACTGGGTATTTTAGTCCCATGGTGCCCTTTCCATATGTTTTTTTCTAAAGCTTTGAAACTGATCAGAGTGCTATCTGGGAAATCTATGTGGCTTATTTTGTTTACCTCCAGGATCTATCTGTAAGATAAATTCAGCCATTGTTTGAGGGACAAAATACCAATTCTTTCTCCTCTGTGACATCAGGGGAGAATATAATCTGCAAATATTCAGCTTTGAGCACTGAAAGGAAGGCAAAACTGGGCAGGATGCGGAGCAGGACTCTCTGAGGGCCCCTATCAAGAAATCTGATGTATTTTCTTTCATTTAAAATCATGAAAGACTCTGATGCTGAGAAGAAATATATCCAATTCCTTTTTATACAACTTCCCTAAGTTCCATGGAGCATTTTCAAACACAGACTTCCCCTGTTGCCATTCAAAATAATTTGTTTTAACAAGGTCTGGAGACTACTCCTAGGCTTGGTTGATGTAGGGAGGTGTAGCTCACGTGGTAAGGTTGACTATAGTTGAAGTGAACTCCTGGAAATCTGATCACAACTCATAGCACTTGTCAGTCAGATGGTACACTATGACTGCAACAATATGCAGTCACTTGAGAAAGGTTCTCCCTGTTCCTTCTTACCTGCTCTGCTGAGTGCAGCATTTAAACACAGGGATCAGAGAGATGATTTCCAACCTACAGGAGGGGATGCAGCTTTCTCATAGACTTTGTCTGCCCATGGGATCAGGCAGAAGGTGCTGCACCTGCTCACAGAGTTGGACAGTGGTGTCCATCTCACCCAGTGCAGCCCAGAAAGCCAGTGGAGTCCTGGGCTGCATCAAAAGGAGCATGGCCAGCAGGTCAAAGGGGTGATTCTCCCCCTCTGCTCTGCTCTCATGAGAGCACACCTGGAATACTGCACACAGTTCTGGTGCCCTCAATGTAAGAAGGACATGGAACTGGTGGAGCAAGTCCAGAGGAGGCCACAAAGTTGATAAGAGCACTGGAGCATCTCCCTGTGAGGACAGGCTGAGGGAGTTGGGGCTGTTCAGCCTGGAGAAGAGAAGGTTGTGTGGAGACCTCAGAGCACCTTCCAGGAGCTGAAGGGGCTCCAGGGAAGCTGCAGAGGGATCTGTGTTAGGAGCTGCAGTGACAGGACAAGGGGCAATGAGTACAAATTGAAAGTGGAGAAATTTAGGTTAGGTATTACAAAAAAGCTTGTTCCTGTTCTGGTGGTGAGACACTGGCATGGTTTGCCCAGGGAGGCTGTGGCTGCCCCAACCCTGGCAGTGTTCACAGCCAGGTTGGATGAGCCTTGAGGAACCTGCTCTGGTGGGAGATGTCCCTGCCCAGGGCAGGGCTTGGGAGTAGATGATCTCTAAGGTCCATTCAAGCCCCTAAAATTCTCTGATTCTATTATCTCATCCAGCTTTGGTGCTGTAGCTGAGGTCTCTGTTCTTGGCACTTGCAAGGGCCAAGAGGGCTGGGGGGGAGGTGGCTGTGCAAAGACAGGAGATTCCTGTCAGGGCTGAGCTTCTCCTGGGGGAGGTGTTTCTCCTCAGGGGCTCCCTGGTGAAACTCAGGCTACTGCTCTGCTGTGTTGGGTGCTTAAGTTAAAACTTAATTGCATACTGTATCAGTAGGATTCATACTAATAGGGTCTAAACTAAAGTCACAAAAATAATTTTCAAGTATTCTTCACAAAAGGAACATTCAGGTAATGAACACATGTAATTCTTATAATTGAATCCTTTAAAGTGATTATAAAGTCATATTACCACATCAAGGTGAGTATATAAAGCATAGCACTCTGATTTTAAAGTATACTTGATGAGTTTTGTTAACCCTAAACAGGAACTCCACACAGAACAGCAGGCATGGGTGGAAAGCAGAGGGAAACCAAAGTGCAATCTTACATAAATACATAAATAAATGATGGTGATTAATAACTTGCCAGCCTCATCCAGAGCTTACACATTTTCAGCATGGCTATACAGTCTGATACAGCTGCTCTGATGACACAGGAAGCTATGTCAGTGTGCCAGCTCAGCCTGAGGTAGTCTCATGTGGGATGGATGGAAGTCAGTGCCATTAGAGGGTCACTTTATCTCAGACTTCCTTTCAGATATGCTCTTAGTGTTAGGTTAGTCACCATGCTGAGCACAGCGAGACCTTCCTCTTGGCAGCTCTGTGACAGACTCTTTGTCAGTCATGGCCTATTGCACAAATCCATCTCCTCTTTCCAATCCCAAATCTCAGTACCTAGGTTTTGGATGGATTTCAGGTTAATGCCAGCTGATCTTGGGGCTGGAGATACACAGGCATTCAGCTGATGGCTGGCCAGAGGACATGTGCTGGTGGTACCATTAAGTCCCCCTCCCTGGGGACTAACTGCTGCAATCTGATGTCCAGACTGAAAAGTCCTCTTCTCCCTGCTCCCACCTGCCAGGATGCAGGAGGCAGGGAACAAAGCCTGCCAACCTGAGGGCACTTCCCATGAGCTGAGGAGGTCCTCCCAAGGAGGGGCTGGATCCAGGGCTGACCTGGCTCTTGGGGCTGGTGACCCAGGGTGACTCCCAGCCTCACTGCTCCCCCCAGTCAGGGTCTGCCAGGGAGAGAACAAGCTCCAACAATCCACAGCAGGAGCTGGTGAGCAGTATGGGGAGCCAGGCACCCGTTTTCCAGCTCACTCCCAGGTCTTGTCATTTAATTGCATGGACATGTTTGATGTATCTCTGAGAAACATCAGAGAAACATCACTGAGTGCTAAGAATTAATCTGAGACCCACAGAGGAGTGCCCACTGGGTTTGCCCAGCAGTTTCCCCTCTGTTTTAGACTTTGCCAGGAATCCCTGGAAATCGGTGGGGAAACTCCTGTCGGCTTCGTATCCACATGGCTGTGCATCTCTGCAAGTGTCGCTCATTGTGATATTTCTGGTTTTCTCAAAAGTCCTTTTTTTCTTTGTAGTGTGATGTCTTGGATCAGAATCTGTTAAATTTCCTCCCAGAACAAGAACATTCAGAAATTTATAAGATGTTATCTTCTTGCATGCTTATGACGGATTCTGCCTCATCGGATTACCTAAAGAGTAAGTGTTATTTTACCTTCCCCAGTAAATGAAAAAAGCATGGGCAGGATAAAAACTTTCTCTCAGAAAGAGTTTTTTTATGTGATGTGCAATAAAAAAAAATTAGTTTCATAGACTTTTAAAAAAGAACTTGCCACCTGGAATGACCCTTTGGTTCTATTTTTAGATGAAACTCCATGCCTTTATTTTACTAGGCTAAGACTACTTGCAGTTATGTTAATTATTAAATATCATATCTTTTGAGACAGCTAAGGAAAATAGGTTAACCGATGGAAACTGAGAGTTCGTCTGAGACAAATCACATCTTAATTGGTATTTCAGCCTGTACAAGTGAGATGCTGCTCAGAGATATGCTAATGTTACATACCTTGGGTTTGCCTTAGCATTGAAAAGTATCTGTAAAATCATTGTCATTCTCTTTCAAACTGAATTTTGTTTCTCTTAAAGATGTTTTTACTGCCTCAGCCTTACTCACTCTAGGAGATCAGATGTAGGAAACCAGAAAGCACACGATGATGCAAGATGTACAGCTGCTTCATCTACTGTACTGTACAAAACCTGCAGCTGATAGCTAATATGCCCAAGTCAATTTAATAGGTATTTTGAGGTAATCTGGCATAGTTTTCCAACACAAGATGCAGAACAGTTGTGAGCTGTGAAAAGCCTGACTAGAACAAAAGGCAATAAATGAAGGATCCAATTCTCTCCTTTGCTACACTGATGCTGTGGCTGTGTAACTCCTGTGGTGAAGGTGGTGAAGGAGAAGGGCAAGGTAGACCCCAGGGCTGTCCCTGAGCTGCAGTCAGACCTGTGCACAGCACTGAACAACCTGCACCCCTGCAAGGCACTTCCTTGCAGAGGCTCTGATCCTGCAATGTATAGCACATCAGTGTTTAGGACTGCTGAGTGGTAACAAGCTGCTCTTGTGCTGCCAGTTGCAAGATTGGGGTTGGAAGACACCATTGGTTGTGTTTAGCTTAAATAGTATATTTATTTCTTCTTCTTCTTCTTTTAACAATCCAGCTGACAATGAACTAGAGTTTTATTGTCATCTTCTGAGAGGAAGTTTGAACCCAAAGGAATTTCCAACATATGAATACATAAAATTTGTAGGAAATTTTCGGTCTTACAGCAATGGTAAGCTTTAATTGTTGTATAAATGTTGCTTTAGCTGTGTAAAATACAATATAAGTGTTGCTCCATTGAACAAGACAGGCTTTTAACTGAAAGAACTATTTTGGACATGACGGGGTAAATTTTGCTTCACACGGGTCTCGTGGCTGAGTTGCAATAGTTGGATGAGTACATGTGCTGAGTGAAACTGTGTTAGATGCTTTTGTTACTGCCCTTCACTTGCAGTGATCCTGGACTCTGGGTAAGTTTGCAAGGAGTGACGGGTTTAGAGGAGGGTTTGTTTGTGCTCACTGTGTGCTAAGGCCCCACCTATTAGCAGAATAATAAGCTTGCTGCCTTATCTGCTGGTTTACATTCAACATTCTGTGCCAGATCTGATAACCTGCCAAGTCTGCCCTCTCACCCCTCTCTGCAAAACCTTGGGGAAAGGCAGCAGGGCCACAGTGGCTGAGGACACTGCCACCTGCCTCTCTCTCTCCAGCTGCCATTTCACATTCCTCTCCAGCACTGCAGAACCCAATGCTCTCCAAAAAAAAAAATAAAAAAGGAAAGAAAGACAGTCAGCACAGCCACTAATGCACCACAGTCAGTCTAGGGCAACCATCTTTCAAGGGATGAAGAGCAGATTTCCACCTCGCCCGTTCCCTAACGAACAGATTGCTGCATGGCCATTAGTGTCAGAAATGAAATACTCCTTTATTACTTTCCCTTCTCCTGCCTGCCCAAGTTTGCTTTCGTTACTTGCCTGACTGAGCTCCAGAGTGGCATTTCCAAAGTTGCTGGTATTGTTCCAAATAGGTCATCCTCTGCACAAAAATTCCCCACCGTGCTTTCCAAAAACTGCATGCCACGCTGCGAAAAAAAACCTCCCTGTCCCCATTTAACTTCTGCTCTTGCTCCACATGACTAGAATAGAAACCTACGTGCAGGATGGAGATATGTGTTTCTTGTTTGGTGCCATCTGATTTGAGGCTCTATTTGTATAAAAAAAAAAATGTAACTGCCTGTGTGCTTTCTAGTTTGAATGGAGTGAAATGCGCCTGCCTGACAGACGCACACACCAAGCTGTTCTGTTTTCTAGAGCAGAAACCAGATTTCAGGTGCTGACTCATAAGGATACATTTCTACCAGGGGAATCTCTGATCCATTTTCTTCAAGGATTTTCAGCCTTGTATTTCAGTGTGACCATAATATTGCCCTCTTACCCGTTAGGATTTCAGATCCCAGTATTTGTATCGGTGGCTATTTCTCAGAAGAAAGATAAAACTTGCATTACAGATACCTTCCCTAGCTTAATGCATACAAACTAAATGGGATCATATTGATTTCAGAAGACACCTAATCGTTTTACAGAGACCCTGCCTTATAAGGGTGCTTTCTAATAAGACATGTGCTTTCTGCTTTAATTTTTTTTCCCCTTTGTGCCACGTTTTTCTAAATCTACCCCTTTATTTTGTCTCTTCCACTTTCTTCCCATCTCTGCTGCAGTCTGACCCTCTGGTTGACAGGGAGGGGACAGCCCTTACCCTGGCTCTGTGAGATGATGCCTCCTGGCTCCCTTCCCATCTGACTTTGGTTCCACCAGTTCAGTGCAGAGCCTGATGGAAATATTTGCTTCACTAGTGTGTGCCCAGCACTGCTCCCCCTTGGCTGGGAGTTGTCCCCATGGCTGCCCCTGCATTGTCTCCCCCTCAACCTGCCTCTAGTCCATCCACAAAATCACCTCTCAGCAAAGGTGGAAGCAAGTGAACCAGACTCATGATGTATCAGGAGCAAACTGTTTGCTTGGGAGCTGCTAACCTTGGGCTGAGGACAGAGTGAGTGGCCAGAGGAGGGTGCAAACCTCCAAAGAGGATGTTGTTGGCTCCACCAGGCTTCTTGCATGAGCTGGCTGCACCCTGACCAAGGCATGGGGGACATCAGCTCCATCAAGCACTGTATGAGAACAGCCAACCTTTGGGCAGCTTTTCAGCCCCAGGGCTGGGGACAAGTAGCTGTGCTTTGGCACAGACACCTTGGAGCTCCTGATGGGTGCAGCAGTGGGTTGGGTTCCTGCTTCTGCTTGGCCCCCACACATCCCAGCACCCCCATCATCAGGCACCATCCCCCAGCCCACACACCTGCTGGACCTGACAGTGATTTCCCTCTTCTTCCTCCTGTTAAATAAATACCCATTCTCCAGTCAGCCCTCCTCCAGGTGTGTGGCCAAGTGGGCAAGAAAGACAGTGGTGGGAAGGGTGGTGAGGAGGAGACATACAGAATCATAGAACCTTCAGGGTTGGAGGAGACCTCTAAGATCATTGAGCCCAACCATTAACCTGTCACTGCTGGAACCACTAAACCCTAAACCAGATCCTCCAGTGCCAGATCCAGACACCTCTTCAACACTTCCAGGGATGGTGACTCCACCACCTCCCTGGGCAATATTCCAGTGCCTGAACACCCTCACAGGGAAAACATTTCTCCTAACATCTAATCTGACTCTCCCCTGTCTCAGCTTATGACCATTCCCTCTAGTCCTCTCCCTGCAGCCATGGCAGGAGAGACTATCCCTCAGGGCAGCACTTGTCCTGTGTGCATTGGATCAGTAGGCTCCAGATCCTGCTTTTTGGAGGTGTTTGTTAAGGAAGGAGGCTAAGCTAAAGATAAGAAAAGAGTTAGCTGGGGGAGAAAGACAGAAATTGCAAATTAAGCTTAATTAGCAGGAGACATTCCTTATGAATGTATTCAAGAATGTTTTTCCCTGTAGCTTTTCACAGCAGTGGAAGTGTGAGCATGTTTTTACACATGGGAGACTGATACAGGATGTTCTTCTCTAAATACAAATCTCTGCCGTTCCTTTTTAGCCACTCAATGCCAAATCCTACCTTTATTTCCAATGGTTTGCTGAGTATAGGCTACATCTGCTCTTGGCTGCATGTTCCTGCCCCAGGGACACCAGAGCCTCTGTGGTCAGGGAAGTTCTTATATCCCTAGGCAGGCTGTATCCCATCAGGATACTTAACTATTCCATTGTCATTAATGTAGGGTCACGGCACTAACAGCCCTAACAAATCTTTCACCTTCCCTTCTCACTTAACCTTTGCTAACGTTTTTAAGAACTGGTAGGTCCTTTTTTTTTTTTTTGCCCACTTTAACAGAAATGTCACTAGCTTTATTCTACTTCCACATAACCTTTTATGTAACCTCCCTTGAATTATCATTTCTTTAGCTCATTTTATTATTGTTCGTTGCTCATATAATGGTGATACTGGGGGAAGAGGGTCATGTGTGCTGGGCTCCCAGTCACCTTGCCCCCCTCCCTCCTCCCTCCTACCTTCTCTGCTAATCTCATTGTGACTTATGCCTGAGAACATCATACAGGGATGGGTTTGAATGGATTAATTTGAAGGATTGTGGCTTAGAAAGCCAGTTAGGGGCTTAGCTGCTCTCCCTAACTTTAGTTGGAGCTCTGGGGCTTTAAAGACCTTTGTACTGAGATGCCAAAGATAATTTTTTTGTATGCTAAAGTAGAACAAATACCTGATATCTGCCAAGGTGACTTGTCACCAGAATTGCTGTCAGGGAGCCAGATCACACACATCCTGCATCACACCCATGCTATAGTCCCACAGAGCACTCACTGACATCTTCCCTGAGCCTGGAAGAGGCAGGGACATGTGTGTAGAGGTCCCAGAAATTGCCCAGGAGAGCGCACATAGTTCACAGCATGTGTTCAATCTTTCAGAAGATCACTGTCCCAGAGCTCCGGGCTCAGCTATCGCTGGGGGCTGGAGGAGCTGCACAGCCTAGTGCCAGGGTTTAGGAGGGTCCACACTTAGACTCATCCTGGAGAAGCTGTAGTCTGTAACCCCTGCTGCAGAACATTTCTGCAGCTCTATCCACACCAGGGACATGACAGGAGCTGCCTGCACACGAGTGAATCCCTGTGGAATTACTGTGCCCAAGCGAGAGCTGCCAACCAGCGAAACAGCAGTGCAGAGACTGCATGAGTCACTGGCTGTGCTAAATCAAAGACAAGACATTTGATTTTCCATTGGGGAGGGTTATATAATCATCATTAATTAAGCTTCAATGAGAAAAGCAGGACTGTAACCTGCTGTGAAGATTCAGTAGTCCCCTGAGAGGAGAGGAGTTGGCCCATGGGCCACTCAGAAGATGAAGGTGGAGTTCCTTTTTGCTTCTGTGACAAATGCCTGTTTGCTCTCAGATCATAATTGGGTTTATTTCCAAATAGGAACTCTTTCCAGTGTTTTTATGTATTTCAGGTTCTGATCCTGTAGCCCAGATTTGAACAAGAGAGATGAATATATGCAAACCTCTGAGGGAGCCAAGTGCCATCACTGTACCTATTGTCCAGTAGTACCTGATAAGGCAGAGAGTCATATCAGCATCACCAATGAATAATGCAGTGGCTCACATCCAGTTCTGCCTGAAGGATGAGGGTTAGGCAAGTAATAAAGATAACCCTCCCCAAAAATCCAAGGAAGTGCTTAGCTCCCAGTATAAAATGTCAAATTGAGTGAGAATAAATTATTTTACAAAGCTGCTTAATAGCTCACTCTGATAAGAAATGATAAGGCAAGCTGGATTTACCCCCCCTGTGAAAATTGTTCCTGCATTTGTAAACAGAAAAAGATCTCTCACAATTATATATCCAAATATTGGCTTTGGAATCCTGTTTCTGAGGTGACATACTTGCTTAAAAACTCCTGAAAGGGACAGAGTCCTCTTTTTCAAAGAGTTCACCAGGATAAAAAAGGACCACCAGCATCTTTCAAGTGACAGACAGATCTGTCCTTTCATCCAAAATGCCTGAAGTTTTTCTCTTGAAGGACGAGATAACTGTTACGTGAAAAGAGTTCCTAATCAAGTAATATAATTAAATACTGTAGTGGAATGCAAAGTTGTGCATTTTTGTTCCCAATTACATGGAAACTCAGGAAGTATCTGGTTACTGACTGCTAATAATAGCAGATGCTCTACTGTTAGCTGATCTGTCT